TGATCTCTAATATAAAAAATAGTTAAATATAAAATATGAAAGAATTGGATAATTAACTAAACGATAAATAAGAGATCCTACCGGAGAATAGTTGTAATGGAGGAACCAAAGGAATACGAGCTTCCGCGAAAGATTATAACAGGCTTACATACGTAACAGGAGCTAAATATAATACGGACTCCGACAATATTATGTACATATACATTTGCGGTTTTCATAAATGCTATTGTTGATATTTTATTTCATAGATTACAGCGATATAAATATTAAAATTTGTATATATAAGAGTAATTAAACAAATAAAAATACCCATAATGAAATATAAATAAATACAGCGTCCATAATTTTTACTTTCACTTCCCCTTTGTTTGAAAATACTAATTTCTGCTAAGAAGAGGGTACTAAATGATAGTTGTGTAACCGCCACCGCCACCGCACTAGATTTTTTTTTAAAGAAAGCAAAACCATAAGTTAAAAAATACCGTAAAAGAAGTATTTGGATATCACAAGGACAAGGACATAGATTAATATCTAAGTTAAAGAGTATAGTTAATAAAAAATTTAAAGAAGGATTAACGAACAAAGTAGTAGCTTCATCGGGTCAAACGTTATGTTACACAGAATTTATAAAAGTTCACGAAAATAACTAAAAATATCGTCGCACCCTTCTAACATTGAACCTTCCAATTTATCAGCTCTCAATTAGCGTTCTAAAGTCTTTCATCTTTATGCTGTCATAAAGCATGATTGAATTGCGGGTGTAGAACTTCAGAGCTGCAATGTCTTACTGTACTTCATATTTAAATCCTTTATAAACATACTTCGTGAGTTTAAAGAAAAAAAAATATATTAAGTGGACAACGACAGCAGTAAAAGCTTCAGAAAGGGAAATCGCTGTCCCCAATGTCCATAAAACCCACTTGTATAATAAAAATGTAATCTGTCGTACACAAGCGCCATTTCGTACCCTAGGCAGCCTGCTACGTATATGGTAATCGATCCAGCGCAAGATTTCACATTTTATTGGAGAAAGCAAGGCGATTGTGCCATAATATTTAAATTAACATTAGCGAATTGAGAATATGATATTACAGGAACGGAGAATGTCCAAAATGTACTTGGCATTCTGACTTAATGCTGATCAACCATCATTGGCCATCCATCCATTTCTGATTATGGAATCCAGAACTAGGAGGGAGTTGTATGGCTCAAGTTGTACATCAAAATGTTTTAGGAGGGAACATTTTTTATGAATTTTTGGAAGGTACAATATTTTTGTATGGTTTCAATATCCAGGAACTTTCAAATCAGGAAACATACCATTGCAAGTATAATTTTAAGTGATTTACAATTTTTCTAATTATACTCTTGCTTGCATTATTACAAGAATATGAGAGTGATAAAATTGCTAGGAAAGGGTGACATAATTTTTCTGGGGGAGGGAGGAGGGGTGAGATAAATAAGTTGTTTCATCATAAATATAATAAATATAAATATATTGTACCTATATATATCATAAATATATTGTACCTAGAATCATTAAGAACTCCTTCTTCTTAAAAAAAAGCAACCCCTTTCTGAATTCCGTAATTTTTTTAAGAAACTAAATAGAAGTGTAAATGTATAATACTAAAATTATATAGTTAATAATTCTTAAAATATAACAATTATTATATTTTTCTCTTTTTAAGTAATAAAGTAGTTATATGTTTCTCATTTCAACTGCCTGAAAAGCATTATTTTTCTCTTGTTTTCTTAATTTAGAAAAACATCCGCAAGAATAATTTCTTAAGGTTAACAATTTGTATGGATTAAATAAGAATTTATAACATTATTGCTCTAAAAAGATAAATGAATTCAAATGATAAATGCATTTGTTCTGAACTTTTGTAAGAGAAAATTTCAGGATAAAGCCTGGTTTTAATTTATTAATTCAAATATAATTTTGTAAATACCAACTAAGAAATTAGTGAGATGCCAATGTTGAAAAAGGATGTTTTGTAAAAGAGAGGACTCCTGGTATACAGAGCATATCACAGTTGCATAATCGTAATCTTTCACCACAAGAACTTTTCAGTAATCGTTAATTATACAAATTTCATCACTAATTACTATCTACATCTCAACAACAATGAATGTATACTTGAGGTATATATTAGGCAGCAGGAGTTAATTATAGAGGGAGGTTTTAAATATTAGTTGAACAAATACATCCCTTAAATTAAATAAAAATGAATTAATTTTGAGGAAAGAGAAACAAAAATAGTTATACTCTCTAACAACATAGTTTTTTATAATAAAAAATAAAACAAGATTTAATAATAAAATACTTTATATGAATAATTATTATTAATTTTGTTTATATTTATACTTCATTACGAGCTTATGATAATTAACTTTTAAAAGTATGATAATATGCTATATGATATGCCATAAAAATTAAGAGAATATACTGTTAAATAAAATTACAATTAATTTAATGAAGTAATTATATTAAGACTGATCTAAATTATTTTTTCAAAATATACATATTTTGGACAAATATGAAGATGCAAGATAAAAATGAGACAGTAATAGTATTTATTAAACGTTCATTAATAAATAATGACCAAAGACTAGTTGTAATTATTTATTAAATTGACCTCAAAGCAAATAAGTGTGAAAAATATTGAAAGCTAGTAGTCAAAATTCATTTGAATTTCTATTTTTACAAATATTAATGATTTACAAATATTTTTATGTCTTTACATGCACTGAAAATCATACAGTTTTTCTATTATGACAGTAAAATAAGTTAAAACTTTAGTTCTACTGATAAATATCTCTTTCAAACTGCATCACAGCCTGGCTATGTTCATGTTTTAATTTGTCTTACAACATAAACATGCAATACATGTAAAGAATAATGCAGAATTTGAAATATAAGTGATTATATTGAAAAAACCTAGTTGGCATAGAATATTAAATACCACAGTAATTAACTTAAAGGCAATGACATACACAAACACTGAAATCTAACTTTAGTAGAGATAAATGCGTAAAAGAAAAAAAATAAATTAAAAAGAAGTGAGAGGAAAAGAGGGCTCTAACAGCTTTCCTGGGACAATGAAAATAAAATCCCAGAATATAGATTTGTTTGCTTGTGACAAGGCATAAAAGTAAAGGTAAAAATAAATTAAACAATTCAAAAAGTGTATGTAAAATTTATTTAGGATGGAATGAATGATCTATATCATAATTTATTATTATCATATTAATATAATTCATAATTTACTAGTCAAATAATCTCCATTTATAAAAGTTTTAAAAGATTTACAACCCTCTCTTAAGGAATATTGATAAGTTGTTTGGATATTGAAGATAGTGGTGAAATATTATGAATGCTTGGATATTGTTACATAAATATACAAAATGAAGGCCGAAATAAAGGCACGAATTACAGCAGGCATAAGTGTTTTTTTGCCCTGCAAAGGAACTGAGCTGGAATACAAAAGAAACAATTTATAAATCCATTATAAGGCCAGTCGTTACCTACAGGTGTGAAACATGGGTTCTGACACAGGAAAGTGAGAGGTTGCTGATAATATGGGAGAGAAAAGTCTTAAGGAAAATATAAGGTCCGAAGAAAATAAATGACCAGTGGCGAATACGGAGAAATGACGAGCTCTATAAGCTGTTTAAAAATGATGATATTATAGCCACTGTCAATAGGAGCTGGCTCAGATGGCTAGGCCATGTAGAGAGAATGGAGGAGAATAGGTTGCCTAGAAAACTTCTCTATAACTGCCTAGGAGGAGCACGTCTTAGGGGAATACCCCGGCTACGGTGGATCAACAATGTGGAGGAAAACCTCAGCCGCATGGGTATCAGAAGATGGAGAAGAATTGCTGGCGATAGGGAAGCCTGGCGGAAGCTTGTTTCTGACGCCCAGGTCCATGAAGGACTGTAGAGCAAATTAATAATAAAAGTGACTGGTGAAGCAAATGGGGATAAGACCTCGATGATAATAAAGACCACTTAATTATACAGTGATAAACCGAGTTTAATCAAAGTTGGAGCCATTTTGAGAAAATTGTAAAAATGTGTATAACCGTTGATGTAAAGTGGCACTTCTGGTTAGTCGATTTTAATGAAAAAGTTGCTGTAACATCTAAGGCATATTTAAATATGTAACATCAGTTTCGTACGACTTTTCGTTTTTGAGTTAGACTGATCACACACACGCACAAACAGACCATTTTATGGGACTTCATTATATAGACTCAGGGGATCTCAAAACATGTATTTACATTGAAAACTCATATTCGAAAATTTTCATGATTGCAATACTTTCCCTTATTATATAGGTAAGTGAAAGTAAAAAATTACTAAGGAAAAGGAAGAATGCATGAAGGTATCAAGGCGAGGAGGGTTAAAGCTCAATAGTTACTTTATAAAAAGTGTTTACTTAAAATTTTATGAAACGAAAATTGATGATAGATGGAAAAGTTAAATTATTGAGCTACAAACTATTTCATTTTTAAAAACAAAACTATAAAATAAAATAAATCAGAAAGGCTCTTTACTTTAATAAAGGCTGTTCTTAAAATATCAGATTATAATGAATTGATGAAGAATATATTAATTTTCTTATATTGATTGAGATGATTAAATTAGAAGTGAAAAAGGAATTATAAAAAATGTATATACTTTTAAAATAAGAAAAATATAAGTGTAGGTAGGTTTAATTCTCATTGATATTTATTAAAAGAGAAAATCTTTAAAATATTCAAATCATGATAATAAATCTCCATTCTGCAATTGTTAATGCTTTAATTTTCTTTCCTCAACTTTAATGATATAAATAAAAGAGAGAGAGAAAAAAAAATAATAGTCAATATAAAACGGTAATGATTTTTTTTAATATTGGGTTGAATTACTGTTTTATAGTAACTTGTATAGACAATGTGTTTCTAACCTTTGTGAGCGAGTTTAAAGTAATTAGTAAAATTAAAACTTACCTCAGAATTGGCTTCTTTCTTGTCTTTGAAAAGGTATAATACTTGGCCCCTCACAACACCCCAAGTCTGCCGCCAAGACCGATCATGTGCCTTCTAAAAAGGGATAGGGAAAAAAAATGCTTCTTTATTTGATGATAAATAAATTGAATAAAATTAACTGATAATGAAAGTAATAAGCAATTATTAAATAAACTAATAACTATAATTCACAATATCATTAGTAATTACCTTTCCATCCACTAAAATAACTTTGCAATATAATGTCCCCTCGGCTACAATCTCCTGGTCTTTCTGAGGTATGTCATTGACACTAGAATAAGAAATAAAAAGGATAAGTATAAACAAACATCCACATTTTAATTATAATAATTCAATTAAAATAAAATCCTAAAATACAAGGGAAAAAATACATAATGATAATTACAATTATAATTGTGGCACTAAATTTAAACTTAATTTAGTAATAATAATAGTTCAATAGTTAGTGTTTTTCATTTACAATATAAAATCATATTGCAACATGTATACTTTCATTAACCTTCTACTCAATTTTCAACATGAAAATATAGAAATTGTCATTTTGACATATGTTAAGATATACATAAATATATAAGCACATATAACAAACAACATATATATGTACAGCAGGAGTGCATTTTTTATATATACATGTTAATTTTTCAAAAGGCAAAAATTTAATTGTAGCACAAAGCTGAAAATAATTAAGGCTCACATGGTGTATGCACATAGATCAGAGTATACCATAATACAAATAAATGTATTATGACGCAATTAGGATTTTTTTCTGACTCAGTGAAACTTATTAATTAGTTAGTGACTTTATTGAAGAAAGCTTACTATGATAAAAAATTATAAGCAATTTACAGTCCATAACGATATTATAACCTTCCAGTTTGATTCTTATGAAAATAATAATTCATTGATTCATAATATCGGGTGAGGAAAAAATAATTTATTTATTTTTTCATGTTTTTCAAAGCAAATTTATTTATATAAATTTTAAACACTAACCAATGATATAAGTGTTGTTTTGATCCATGAACTTTTGCCACTTTTACAGTAAAACCATAAGTTCATCACTGTAGAAGTTCTGAGATTCTGAGGGCAAAAGAATGATTTTCACAATCATCTTTTGATGCCAGTTTTACACCATTAAGAGAGTTCTGCAGAGACCGAAGCAAATGGTAGTCAGACGTAGCAAGGTCCGGACTATATGGTGGATGCACCAAAACTTCCCAGCCAAGCTCTCTAAATCTTTACTGGGTCATTAAAGATGTGTGTATTCTAACATTGTGATGAAAGACGCCTTTCCTGTTGATCAACTATGGTCATTTTCCTTGAATCTCATGCTTCAATCGCACTAGTTGTTCACAGTAGTGAGTTGAATTAATAGTTTGTCCAAGTTAGAGCAGCTAATGACAAACAATTCCTTTCCGATCCCGCCAAACATTCAGCATCACCTTCCTTGGAGTCAATCTGGGCTTAACGACTGTTTGTGAAGCTTCTCTGGGCTATGACCATGATATTTTTTGCACATTATTGTTGGACATGATCCACTTTTTATCACCTGTGATGATTTGTTTCGAAAATGGCTCGATTTTGTTTCGCTTCATTAGTGATTCACAAATGGAAACTCGGTCTATTAAATTTTTCACTGTTAATTCAGGTGGAACCCAATTATTGAGTTTCTTTTGGTATCCAGCGTTAAGTAAATGGTTCAAAACTGTTTTCTGATCAATGTTTAGTTTTGTATGAATGTCGCGAGATGAAATGTGTTGGTCTACCTAGATTTTATAAAGAATTTCATCGCGTTTTTCAACGATTGGCCAGCCAAGGTGAGGTTCATCTTTAACATCAAAATTTCCGGAATGAAAACAAGCAAACCAATTCTGACACTTAGGCACCATCATCACCATAAAATTATGTTTCGATGAGCCTGCACTGCATTTTTCCCTTTTCGGAAGTGAAACGGCAAAATATGATGAAAATGACCTTCTGGAACCTCCATTTTTAACGTGCAATAAATGTTGACTGTGACCTTTCAAATGGACTATAGATTGGCTTCATTGAATTAGGATTACAAGAGATAAGAGACATTAAAATCAACTATTGGGATAAAACTAAATTACTTTTTCCTCAACCCAATATTACATAAAACAAAACCAATTGAATATTTTAGGATTTTCAACCTCATTTATATAATAGAACCCATGTTAACTGGTTACCTCGGGACTGGGGCCCTGAGTGGTTTCCATTTTGGACGGTTAATCCCAGGAGTAGGTATTGCAAAAGAGAAATATTAACAGAAATTTAGAATAACAATGTTCTATGACAAAAGACATCATCAGACATCACTTCAATCTTTGTTGAGTATAAATCATACACATTTCATAGGTATGTCAGATCCTCATCTACTTCTTGGCTTTTCTGATTGGCAGTCAACCAGAAAAAGGTCTACTTCTTCCAATGTTAAAATAAGAAGGCCCAACTGTGGTATGCCATCAAACACAAAGGTCATAAAATAGTAGTTCTTTTCAGTAAATTGTAGTTCCCTCATTACCTCAAAGGTGATTACAGACTTCTATGTTCCAATGGCAATGAATTTGAGACAATTTTCTTTGCCATCCAACAGCACTTTCATCTTCATTCTCTTTGTTCTATTTGGTAGCTAATGATATGACTTTATTGACAGTCAAAAACTCATTTTCAAGATTCTTGTCAAAGTTTATCATCCAATCTTGAATGTCTTGTGATGCAATTTAAATGCTCGAATGAGATTTTTAATGGATTGGTTTTCTTTTCTTCTGGAAGAGATGCACCAGCAACAAATTTCTTAACAGCTAGCTAAAGTTTTAACCATGGTTTTAAGAATACAGAAGCCGAAATTTTTTAGTAAGTTGTTATTAATTGATTGACTATAACTTTTAACATGATTTCAATTAAGGGCATGTCTAAACTCACCTAACATTGCAAAATTTCAGAAAGAAACTTAGGTCTATATTTATTTTATTTTCACAAGGCCAGTTAATGCAAAGCTGGTTAACTGGGGTTCTATCGTACTCTAATAATTTTGGCAGCATGTAAATACGATATCTGCCTTATAATAATCCGAGAACACATAAATAATTTAAGAGAATACATCTTAGTTAATTAAAGATATTAGAAAACAATATCTGAGTGCTCTGGTTCTTTCTTGCCTCATCTTGAAGTTCTAATATATTCCAATGATCTTAAAGTTTTAAAGATAGTATTAAAATTTTTGTAAACCTCACAAATCCTACTGATTTACTAATCATATTTAGGCTAAAATCACATGAATGAATTCCTCACTGACTGATTTGATAATTCATAATATTACAAACATAAATAAATATTAATGAGATTCATGCTACTTTGAAACTTCACACATTATTTACACAGACAAAAATCATATGATATAATTTTTTATTCTTATACATTTAAAAAATAAAACATAAAAAAACAACATGAATAAAATATTAGTAACACCAATGACTTGAGGATGGTTAGCCAGAGACAGATCATTACAAAAATTTGTATACAATGGTTTACAAACCCACAATAAAGTCCAATCACTGGAGGCTCAAATAATCTTACAATCCGTTGAATATCATCAGGAAATAGAGGAGGGCGCCATTTCCTCACATTAACCCTTCCACACAACACAAAGAACGTCACACTCATCTTTCGATTAGTCAACAAAAAATAAAATAAAAAAAAGAAGAAAGAGTCTTATGAACACTCGAAAAAGAGTCAATGCTAACATAACCATATTTTATTTTTATTTTGTATAATTAAAACATTTATAGTAAAAAAATTAAACTATCAAAAGATTCAACGATAAATTCAGAATATGAAAAATGCTTATATTTTAGGTCTTAAGACCTTTCCCCTCCCAAAAAATAGAAATTTGGAATTGTCTTTATGTATAAATATAACATTAAACATAAGTTGGATAAGAGAAATTCACTTCTTTATCCTTACATATAATGTACCTAAAGAGTAATTATTAAATAAATGCATATCAAAAGTATGAAAAACATCTATACTTTGTATTGTTATTGTATTGGTTATTTGTTAGTAATCAGTTCATCAAACAAGAATAATTTTTGTGACAAAACTCATGAATATAAAAAAGTTTCACAAATACTAAGTGGAAGCTAGTCGACTGTTCTACTTATCATGGGTGATAAATAGTCAGGACGTAGTCACTATAAAATCTTTTTTATTTGTGCCAAACGTTTCAACCCAAACATGTGGGTCATCATCAGGGTGTAGTTTGAGCACTGAAGGCTTTCCACGCCCTGATGATGACCCACATGTTTGAGTTGAAACGTTGGCAAAAATAAAAAAAAAATTATAATGACAGCGCCCTGACTATTTATCACTCATAAAAAAAATAACCTGCACCACTACATCCCATAATGGGTCTATGGGCACAGTACATTATAAGGAAGTACTCTTTAAAGGCCAACGGTTGTGCAAGGAGGAGATGATTGAGCCAAGATCACGCTCAACTGTCATATTTTTTCCCTAAATTAATTATTTAATTAGGAATACCCACTTTGTAGAGGATGGGTGTGCTTCAGAAGTGTCTCCCAAATCCTGGGTTGATTCATGGCAGATGTAACAGAATAAATAAATAAACAGAATCTGCCATAAGCCGGATTCGAACCCACAACCTTCATCATAAGAAGTCATTGCCTTATCTATTGATCCACCACTACATCCCCACAAAGACATACACTTCTAAAATATGCCATAAAAACATTTTCACCTTTGCTATTAATGTTATAGAACATACATAATTAGAACATAACAAATCAACTGCCACCCATATAACCAAAACTAGAGTTATGAATTCAACTAAAATGAAAAATGAATGAATTCTTTTTAATGAGTAAAATTATTGGCATACATGATATATGAATATTCTAAAAAACAAAACAAAAAACTAAAAACATCAATAAAATTATAAACAAAAAACATTGTTTGAACGAGTATCATTCTTTTGAGTCAACAATGAGAAAAAGATAAACAGAAAATATTAGACCTACCCCTTGTGAGGCGATGCAAGCTGAGGTTCATTATCGCTGAGCTCCTGATCTGAGTCAACATTTATTCGCCCACCCCAAGTTGCTTTGAGGTATGATACTCTCCGAGTGGTCCTTTCGTCTTCCTCTGAACCTACCAGAAACAATAATCGGAATCTTATTATTCTGATTAATAAGTATTAAAATCAAAAATTATACAATCATACAAAATATTTGAGAAAATTGATCTGATATAATTGGAAATAATAGATAACAACTAAACAAATAAAATAATAAATACCCTGCTCATCATTGGGGTGAGATTTATTTCTCCTGAAGACTGGTTCCGAAGCAGGAGAACTGTCTAGTGAGCGAGAATCTGGGGTCAGTCGGTTTTCTCTTTCACCTGTGAAGTCAAATTGATAAGTGATCATAAAAAAATCAGTCGTTATCAACGACCAATAAATGAAAATTAAATTAAATTTAAATACTAAATATCATAGTAAATAATTAAAATAAAATTTTTTTACTCGTTTTTTTTTTTTTTTTTGGCTGTTAACTTTATAACAGGTCCTGTTTATTCAACAATACTTAGCGATAACAGTAGGGTCATGAATAATACAGTTCTGAATAGGATTACAACTATTGGATGAATTCTTGCAGATAATCATGGGTAAAACATAAAGGGATAGGATGAAGGACAAGAGGAATACGAAGATGAATCCACTTAAAAAAATAAAATGAGGTGGTTTGGGTATGCCAGAGAAACTGATGAATACATAGATCTACTTCAGACAATCAAAAATCTATTAGAAGAATAGGTGAAGAAAAACAATATGTACATTTGAAATCTAAATATAGTGAATTTTCACAAACAGAAAATATTTATTTTTCAGAAACCTTCATTTTTATTATATGAAAAAACTAAATTTCTGTATAGAAGAACAATAAATTTCATTCTGGGACCTTCAGTCCCTTAACACATAGATAATGGACAGTAAAAGCACCATTTATCTGAATTTAAAATTAAAAGAAATAATTAAGTAACAGAGTGATTAAAACTGTGGGCGAGGTTGCCGAACAGCACCACCATTGCCCAGCAACCTGATATTTAAGATAAATTGATAATATAATGAACTATATAATATATTTAAATGACAAAAAAAATTCTATACATCAATTGTTCAAAGTACCTTCAATTTATATAGGGATACAGGTTCTAGTGAATATGTTTTTATTAATCATTATAAAATAAGGCTTTATTTCTTCACCATATATATTTCAATTTACATAGCCATATTCAAGCCATTTATAAGATAAACACCATTAATTTTATATTCTGATGCAATTCAACACTCTATGAAATAACTGGATATGAATAAAAAAGCAACGTCATTCTATCTAGTGGTACTGTTAATTTACAAATTAACTGGTAGTGTTAATTACAAATTTAAAAATTGACATTCATAGAATATTAAATTAAATAGGACCAATACCAACATCATAGAGTGTAGAATCGCCTTAGAATACTAAATTAATGGTGTTTATCTTGTAGATGGCTTGAAGATGGCTTACCGGCCGAAACATAGCTATGTAAATTGAAATAAATAAGGTGAAGAAATAAAACACAGCCTTATTTTATAATATTAAAAATTTTTCACCTTAAACAAGCACATATGGATTTATTAATCATCTCCTTCAGCACAATAATTTTATTGGAAATACTAATTAAAAAAAAATCAATAAATAATAAGTCCATAAAACAGTTACATACTTATGTTATTATAAGATCACCAACATAAAAGGAGGTTGAAAGATATAATATATGAGATAAGATTTCATACAGGTAAGGAAACTGACTGCGATAAAATGATATGGACTACAAAGTGAGTCAGAGGATGATAGGTAAAATTAAACTGAGGAGAAAATAGAATTGAGAAAAGATAGAACCAGATAACTGTTATTTTCATTTTAACTTAAAATGAACCTTAAGTAAATAACTAATTAGAAATTTCTACAATAGTAACTTTCCAAAAGTATCATTTTCTAACTAATAAGTTCATTAGAGAATAAATACTATTTCATATTTTTAGATGGTTAAAATATAAACGTAAAAAAAAATTCAATACAGTTTTTGTAAAGGGTATTTTTTTATTTTTTTTTATTAGGATTATTTTACAATTTAATCTGTGCAGTAATAAAATTAGAGGTTGTCTAAACATATACATACACACACACAATTTATTATTTATCTGGTTGTATTGAATGAAATATCAGTTTTTAATCTGAGAACAAAAACTTATTGACTTTTTTAATCAAATGATGATTCATTAGCTTTAATAGATCTAAAACAATCATAATTAAACTTAGAATTGAGCCCTAATAAAATCTTAAATAAATTCCTGAAAGGGATTGGTCAGGGAGTGGTAGCTGAAAGACCTTTGTATATATATTGTCTTTTGTATAATCAGATCTAAAAAATGATTAATTAAAAATCACATTTTCTACCTTTTGAAAATATTGACTATATATATTATTGTTATAAATATGTAGTTTCATTCTGTTTAACATTGTGTATCTGGTGTATTACAATAATTACAACTAAAACAGCACTACCAATGGAACATTCTGTGAGACAGAACAAAAAAAGTTCATAGCTAGTCTGTGATATACGTGTCCACTGAATGTAAGGTAAGCTTGAGCATACATGTTAAAGTTGTTGAGTTTTTCATTCATACAAAAAACAAAACACAAAATTCTTGTTTGCAATAATTTTTCAACAGGATTTAGAAATAACAATCAAACCCTGGTTTTCTTAACTAATATACAGGTTTAACTTTGATGCTTAGTCAATAAAAAAGATAAGAGAGCTTTACTGTACAACACTTAAGTTTGTGAACCCTACAATGATAAAGTAATTAGATGTATAAAGATAATGAGATGTTAATTATTAGTAAGGTAGTAAAGATTATGGAGATAGTAAGAAATTAAAAGTGATATTTTATTTGACACAACTGGATAGGTATCTAATCATTCAAGTTAAAGATGATAGCTACTGATATTTTGTCTTTTTACAACGTCACAACACATCTGATGACAATTGGAAATTTATTATTTGTAGTTAAGCACAGAAATAACTTCAACCTCATTAAACATCTTTATATAATTTGCTATTATAGAAGAAAACAAACAAAACATGAAGTATACCCAATACTTATAGAATAAAATTCGTACCCAAATTTTATACAGATTAAAAAATAAATAAAAGACAATTATTAATTAAGTTATGTTTTCCACTCGAACAATTATAGTAATCAAGTTCACAGATACAGGGTTAGTCATAGTCACAACTTAAATTAATAAATAAATGTTTAATAGTAATAAATACTTTAAAGGAAACATATAACAATTGTATAATGAATTCAAATATTTTAATAAAGCACGCCAACATGCAGCTCATGTTAACTAATGTCATAGCTTAAAGCGCAAACAGCATAAAAACATGCATATGAATAGTTTAGGTGTAATGAAAATACTTAATATTTTAATTTCATCTATAATAAGAATATATAAAATAAAAATATATAAATAAAAATAACAAGGAAGCTATTCAACATAATCCAGAGAAAATGATAACTTTTTGTACTACCGCTCTCAGCATGAACTTGATAACATTTTGGTAGAGATTAGTGAATATAATTTGATTTGAATTTAATAATAAGACTTGGTTCTACACAAATAGTTTATAAGTTTTGACCGGGAAGAGCAAACCAACAATGGTTATGTTTTATGCATATGATTAGCAATTTTGATTACTATTATTACAAATAAAAGATATTTCAGAAATATTTCTATTTTTTTTAAATATTTTTTATTTTAAATGAATTTGTATTTCAGTAGAATTATCCAACTCAAATTAGTAAAGGTTGCTTTTACACAATCAAACAGTTAAGGAACAAACGACCATTTTGCAGTTTCGTTGACAGTGTGTGGAATGTGATGTTTTGCACAACTGTTGAGGTGAACTGATCCGGACCCAACATTTTTGTGCAACAGGAAAGGATTGGCTTGAAGGCTTAATTAGATTAACAGTACAGAGCTAATGTAGCATTGGGGCTCTGCAGGTTTAGAGAGACATTATTTTACTTATTGTTTGACCACTATATCATTGAGTCATTAGGTTAATAAAAAATTAAGACAAATATGTAATGTTGTTAGACCAGAATGTCGTTTGATGATAGAATCGAATTGAATTTATTCCATTTGCTATCCCAGTTTCTCTACCTGAGGAGAAGTAAACATTTTGCTGAAGGTTCGTATTCCAATTAGGCGAGAGTTACCTCCAGCTCCTGACCTCCACATACTGTTCGCTACAGTTACATTTCAAAATTAAGTGTTTCCTCCCAGGTTACTCGATCTTGCAATTCCTTTTAGGGCATGAGAGCTTTGTTTTAGGGCACGAGAGCTTTCGAGCTAAGTTTAAATACCACTAAGTCACTTAGAAAGGAATTTTGTAAGCCAATGTCCATATTATCTAAAGTGCAGAGAAAGGTTTAAAATAATATTAAGGTTAGTTATGTAAATTCGAAGAGGTTTGTCCAGGACCTCGCTTACTAAGAGGTCCCATAACAAGGACTTTTTTTTATAGCTTAATTTTGGGAGGGACTAAAAAAAAAAATTCATTGGAGACCTTAAACAGTTAAGATAAATCAGTGGCTAGTTCTGACCCTCTAATAAATCTCTCAGCATAATAGTTAGCAAAAGATCCTGATCTAATATAACAGACCAATTAAGCACAACCTATCAAAAAAATGAGATTGCCCAGAAGTTTTTCTTTATCACAGTTAACTCTTAATAATTTGTACATATTAGTAATAAAAACCAATATGATAGTTCTGATAGAAATATTTATAACTCCTGCACAGAGAACACAATGTTTGATCAGTTCAGAAGTTTAATTAAGCAAAAATATTTGAGAAATAAAACTGAACTTAATAAAAACTTTTTAAAGATGTGAAATCAACCCCTTATTTACGTGTCATATTATATCTTAATATATATAAGTTTGTACAGATATATATATACACAAAATACATTTTTAATGATTTAAGAAAACATTTCAACCAATAAGCCAATACCTAAACAGTTTATAAAAGTGACTAATGCTGTGATATTTATGAACATGCTTAAGATAAAAATGTCAAAGCAAATTAATTATAACATAAAGAGCATATTACACTTTTAATATTTAAAAACTTACCTTAAGCAATCTCATGTTTTGGACAAAGTCCTAATGTAAGGTCCCACAGTAAAGAATGAAATGTTCATAGAAAATATAAAATTTTGGAACATGTTCATAAGTAAATGAATCAAGATTGGTAATTTTAATTAGATGCTATCTTTACCAACTTAATCATTATTCACGAATGATGTGCCAGCAAAGGAATATTTTTAAAAAAATATAAGAAAATGAAAGCAAACGAATACAACCTTTCATTATACTTTTAATATCAGGGTAATACATGTCCAACACACAATCACAGAAATAACATAAATGTTTCCGAAAAATTTTGGTTGTTCTACTAACATTTAAGGTTATAGAAAAAAAATCAGAAGCAAAACTATTTAAAAAAAAAAATCAAAGGAGGGGATTAAGCACCAAGATAGAAAAAAAGAACCAATAATTGAAAAAAAATCTTGTTTTAATTGGTCAAAATGAAAAAAAAAACTGATCCATTAGTAAAGTTAATAAAAAAATGATTGGTATACAGATAATCAATTTACTCATTATTTTAAAATTACTGCTCAAACTTAGTCAATATAAGTTATGATTTAACAAATAAGTTTATACCTTAAAGAAATGAAAATAATACTTTAATTTTTAGAATTTATTTGATAGCTCAAGATAAGGAATATTTGAAATATAATCAAAGGGAACTGAATTATTTAATTAATAGAACTAAATATATTTGTGTTGTAGAGACATAAAACTTAACAATGAAAAAGGAAAAGAGAAATAGTTGGCTTAAATAGAATAGGTTAAGAACTATGAAAATCAGGAAACAATTTCTGAAACATAATAATAAAATTAAAAGTTAAAAAACGTTTGTTTTCCCCACGGGCTTGTTTGTTATTCATTCTTTTCTAAAACCATTTACTTATGGTACTTTCAAATTCAGTTATAAGAAAATCATTTTTTAAAAAATTAAAAATAATAATTACTACTTTTTTTCCTATTTTAAGTTACAATATATCTCATTATCTACAGATGAACATGAAAGTAGGCATCAGTTTAACTGAAGTAGGATATAAAATTTTTCTTTCATGAAAATTAGATATTAGGGGAAAAAAAGGTTGTAATATAAAACAAAATCTTTTTATCATTATTATTATTAATCATTTCATACTGAGAATGAAAAACACATTTAACTGAATGTCAGATATTCCAGGCTTTATTGTAATCACAATTTCCGTTCTAGTTTTAGGATTCTGCATACATGAAAAAATGATTGGTATTCATGCCCTGTAAGGCACAGTATATTTATCAAATAATAGAATCATTCCCTTGAAATTGCAATATCTTCTTGTAATTAATCAAGTGAAACCTAGTTATTAATTAATTAAAATACAATAGAAAAGAAAACTGAAAAAAATATGGAATAAAAATACATCTTCTTGTATAGTTTTTTATTTCTTAAGTAATTAGTTTCAGTCAAGCAGTTTTAGCGCTGATTAACAAGAAGAGAATATAATGCAGGTTTTATAAGTCCATTAGTCTGATAAATGTCTTGAGACCAAAACCGGATGCAAAGAAAGTTGAAAAAAAATATATAAAAAAAAGAAAGGATTGTTTTTTTCTTGTTCTAATCTAGGTTTCTGTAATATTGAAATTCAAAATTTAAGAATTAAAAAGATATTTGCACCTATGTATAAAATAGGTGTGCCCAACCCAAGAGATGTCTATCACAATGTGGCATACAGGAGGATTGGAATTGGCACACAGATGGTCAGGAGATTTTTATTTTTTTTTATTCTTAATTTTGATATTTCATTAAAAAAAAAAATTAAGTTCTCATTCTGGGATCAGAAGGAACTCAGCACATTTGATATAGGTAACAAAATTACTACCCCAATAGATGCATTTAATTTTATAAAAAATAATTAACTGTTTTCATGTTTTAACTTAACAAAAATAACTGCCCAAACGAAGAAACAATAATTTTAAAAATAACCGCCTATACTATATTAAAATAATTATTGTGAACACTGCCTGGTTTAATAGAGGGTGAAGTATGGTTATAGCACCCTTTAGGAATAGGTTGGGCACCCCTGGTGTAAAATATCAAATTTCTCCATTTTTATGTTTTTAGCTGGAGAATAAACAACTTATTATGCATAAAAAATTAGAAAATATTTCAATAAAATGCTCAGATTTAACTACTCTGTATTTATTAGGAGCGTGCATTATTTACTTGTTCAAACTGTAGGTCCACTGACTGATCCAGGTTACTACGTACGATCAGGTAGCATTGACAGGGGAGTTTTAATTTTACTTGGTAATTATGCAATCATTCAATAAATATTGAGAAAAAAATATATAATAATACCTCAAATTAACAAGATTTAAAAATTTGGTAAACAAAAATAAGATAAAATAATTTTAAGCAGGAAAAACCTAAATAAAATTTGGCTGAACAAACAACAAAGGGGTTAGAGCAACAACATACATTGGCATAAAAGAAGTAAATAAATGAAAAACAATAATAATGAAAAAGTAGTTAATCGACAGACAGAAATATTTAAAAACAGAACAGAAGGTATACAAGAATAAGACAAAACAAGAAGCGCTTCGGTATGCGCCCGAGCCGCCACCGCTGGTTAGTAAACGTGCGCAAAGGTGGCTAACCTGGCGACGGTTGTGCCGCCGGACAGTTGGTGTGTGCTAATGGCAGGGTGTCCGGCCTCGTTGGCTTCTTAGGAGGTGCCTCAGTCACCAGAATTGAGATCTCCGGCCTTCTGTCTATATAGGGTTTATTAGTGATTAGAAGCTGATATTGTTACCTCTACCAATGTTAGGGAGCTTCTCGCCTTCGGCAGTAAAGCTGTTATTTCTATATCTACATACTCATTGTTCCTTGATAACATTGGAGGATTAATTTAAAACATTTAATGAAATATATGTATAAAAGTGCTAAAAATTGAAGCATTAAACGTGCCTAATGTTCTTTATAAAACTCAAAATTATAAAAAAAAAAAAAATAGCATAAGTGCACTAAATAATAAAAAAAATTATAAAGCTTCACAAATGCAAATAAAAAAAAGCACCATTTTAAAATGAAATATAATTAATAATTTGATTGAAGAAAAAGAACTAATGCATGTAATATTGATCATTTATCATTGAATGAACAATTGAAACCTTTAATTATTTCGCAGGAGGTTTCAAAGGGGAAGAGAAACTATTCTTCGAGAAATGAGAGCATCTATTCTTAATAAAGAGACAACAAATAGAAATTATTTTCATATATTTCTCTCTAATCAATTTTGATAGTATTTTTATTAGTCTAAACTAATAATTGTAATTTTTTTTACAAGGTTAAGAAAAAGTTAGCGTATGCTATATTTTTTACCAGAATTAATAAGCATTGACTAGTAATGTCTTCTTGGTTAAATCAAAGATATCAGATATGTTCTACAACGATAAATGGCACTTAATAATAGAATACAGGAAGTAAAATTTCTTGAGGAAAAAAAATTTAATTTTATTACTATTATGATAACAACCAAGAAGTTTTAATTGAAATGAATAAATTTATAAGTGAAAATGAACTATTTAACTGCCAATGAACCACAGTAAGAGCGAATCTGTGAGGTATGACTCCAGTTTAAACATTATGCTTAACTAGAACATACATTATTTTAAAATGATGCTTTTTATTTTTAGCTTTTTTAAACATTTGAATATACAATAAACAACAACTAATACAGTAAACATCAATAACAATTACTCCAATCAAACAGTCATTAAAAAATCGTATATACAATTTTTTTTACTCTGATATTATCCTGATAACTGTTAATTGATTTAATTATTTATTTTCAACAGTATCAACAAGCCCCGATGAGCTTATAGCTGCCAGACAAAAGCAAAATTAACAATACTGTAATTTGCCTTTTCAAAAGAGAATATGTCAACGGTACAGTGAAGCGAAACAATAAATTAATCTAGTATACAAATTAATGAGTAAATAATAAAAGGCTGATTAATTATATATATATTTTTTAAAGCGTTGGGGCACATTATGTCTTGTTAGCAATAATTAGTTTAAAGCAGCTTGTAAAATTATCAAGCTTTAGTTTTATAAAAAAACAGCAAAACTTTAATAAGCTATCTCAAGAGTTCAATTAATCAAATTTAATTTGTACACAAATATATTATTTTATAATATAAACCATGTATTTATTTGGTAGATAAATATATAGAAAATCTATGGTACTGAAAGTATTTCAAATATGAATAAAAACTAACCCCCACAGGATGGGGAAAAAAATTTAATAAAGTCAAATTGAATAAATAATAGTTATAAGATAATTAAGAAATTTAAAACATGCAACTCATTCAATTTAAAAATGAATGTTTTTAAAAATTTACATAAGAATGCATTAGATTATATGATTGATATCTATGCATTTGCATTAGGTCTAAAAATAGGTTTTAATTAACATTCACTACGAAAAAATATTTATTCAAATAATTATATTCAGTCAGAAAATGCAAAAATTTTATTCAGCCTAATTGAAGAAAAATTAGAATAATATAAAAAATATCTATACATACCTACGAGAATATAAGTTAAAATAGTTTATTTTGCATTGATATACATTACAATAATAAAATCATCCTTTGGAAAAGGCAATACAGTGGCAAAAAGCTTTACTCTAAATTGAAGTGTAGTGTTTGGGAATGATAAAAATTGTTTAAACTTACTTCGGATCGGTTTATTAACAGCAGCAAGATAAGAGTCTTGGCGGACAGCTTTGTGCCGGTGAGGTTGGTCTTTCTCGCCCCAAACACCTTCTGCTGAGTTGGATCTCGGTCGTTCGATAGTCTTTCTCTCTGTTAAAATACAAATGAGGTAATGAATATATTTTATTTAAATGTACAAAAAGTTTTGGAAGAAGTGCTTTATAAATTTCTTAAAACATTAATATATACAAAGAGCTAATAAACCCAGACAAATTACCAGCAGAAAAAATAGTTCTCTAAACTAAATGATTAAGCAACAAACTAATCCTAAGTATGTAGATATATATACACACTTTATAAGCTGTCCCAATTATCTAACAAAAATCTTTTCTTTTTTTTTAATATGTTTTTAATTGCATAGTTTTTTTTTATTCCAGAGGTAAAGGAAACAATTACTGTCATTAAAAAAAATTAGAAAACTCACCTGGCGAGAGCTGGTGAAAATCTTTTGGTGGATCACAATGAATCTTTGTACTGCCAACTGGTATGGTACGATTGCCTGTAGATACTGGAGGTGATAAGCTTCCTGCAGATGGTATAAACAGAAATTATTAATATTAATGATAATAAAATTTGTCAAATTTAATATTATATATGTATATCAAAATCAGAGTAGAAGTTTCTGAAGCGGGTTCGGAGGCCTGCTAATGGATATAACAGATATATTGTCAACAATTAAAATATGGTTGACTGGCTTCTGATATATACATTTTTTCCATATTTCTTTGAGAAAAGTATATTTATTTAGTCAAGAAAAAAGGAGGATATCTTGAATTTGGGGAAAAAATTGACTCCTTGAAGTGAAAGAAAAAAGTTTTTAATAGAAAAAACTAAAATAATTAAATGAATTCTTTAATAAAAAATCACAAACAAAGGGAACATTGGTCAGAAGAAATGAAAAGGGTAGGAACAGTGCGAGTGAAGCAATAACATATTTGCGCTACAAAATTTTGTGCTCTTTTCCTTCCTCAATTCTTGGAATGAATTTGTCTAAATATAAATCCGATTATTTTCTGTTATTAAATATGTTTATAGATATCTAATAAATACTAAAAATATTATGAGTATAAATAAAACATTAAAATACACTAAAAGAAACTTCGGCCATTTAAATTAAATAAATCTGTTTTAATACATGCGTGAATGTATTAGTTTTTTTTAAAATCACTAGTAAACCCCTTCTCAGTAAGCACCTCTATGCAATGAATAAATCTTACAGATCCGTGGATGTCTGTTGTAAAGAGGTTTCACTGTACATTCATTTAAATAAATCCATATTTTTCATGATGAAAAATCATAAAGTAGTTAATATTTACAATTAATTTTGTACTGAACTTACGTTGATGGGGAGAAGTTGTATTACTGTCCAACGACCGGCTTTCCCTGTGTTTTCTCCAGTCACCTCTGTTTTCGAACTCTTTCCGCCTCACAGCAACATTAGGGACATTTCTCTTGCTACCTAGCCTCGCCAGTTCGCTCCTATGAAAAAAAATTATGCATTAGCCATATTAAAAAAATTACTTAGGATAAAACATCTCAAAATGGACATTTCTAATTTGAGGACTTGATACTTGAATAAACAAGGATATTGATGATGAGTAAAACTTTTTCAAAAGAAATAATAAGAATTTATCAAGAAATAATTAAAATAAAGGTTCTCTGGATGACTTGGATTATTATTGAAAATTAATTCATAAAAAATAAATATTCATATATTGAATTATTTTCAAGAGAATATCCCACCAAATAAGCTTTTTCCAAGCCTTCTTTCTGTCAGTAGAGCAAAAATACGTTTCTTCTAAATGTGCATTTATAATCTATAGTAATAAATTTGCTATTAAACTAATTTCTATAACAAAAAGAGGGTATCACTTCTATTTACATATATTCTATATATATTAATTATACATATATTTTACAGCATGTAAAGCTTATATATAATTATATATTGAAAATAAAATATGCGGTTATGTTACAGCCCAATAACTATTAACAAATAGAAAGAAATCAGTAACAATTATAAAAACTAACTCACCCGGTTCTCACAACAGAAACCAAAAAAGACCTAAGAAATAAACAAAGAATGACAACTTAGCACATAGAAAAGTAACCCCTTCCTTCAAACAATGACTGGGAAGAAGGTATGGTTAAGGGGTTAAAGTGAGGTCACAATAAAATACCTGAAATAGTATTTGAATGAAAAAGAAAAAAACTTTTGATTGGTTTCACAACACCTTTTTTTCAAAAATAAACTAAGGTCCATAACTAATAAAAAAAAGAACAATACCTGTATAAATCAGTCCTGTCCGCAAGCAGCATACCAGTTTCGAACTGCCTCGCTCGCTCGGAGACCATCCTCAACTGGTGGGTATTGGGTGGAGGTGAAAGGAGGTCCCTCACCGGTCGCCTTGCGGTCAGCCTACAGCGATCATCCACTACAGGTATATTACCTGTTCCAGGCATGTTAGTAACTGCCCCACCATAGATGAATCCTGCAAAGAAGACAAAAGGAGAGTGAGTGTTTCATACCTACATTAAACGTTCTAGATAAAGTAAAGAAATTCTTGATACATCAATAGGAAAAGTCAAAACAATTCAGTCCCTTTTTCTCTTCTGTTTCTCAACCGATTTTCTTTTTCCTTTTTTTGTTTAGCAGCTATTGGTGAGCTTTATTGATATCAATAAAAAAATTTGGAAACAATGTAATAAATAAAAATGTAAATGTTACTTTGTTTAAAACCGCTAACCGTGGTCTTTCTTTTGAAATAGAAAAACATCAATCACTATAGTCTATAGCAAGGGTCTCTAAACTACGGCCTGCGAGCTTCCAATCCGGCCCACCAAAGTTTCTTTGGTTACATTGTAAAACTTAAAAAAGCATTTTAAAAAATTTAGTAAATCATTCAAACACAAGTTGAATACAGGTTTTACTACAAGAGTTATTTTTCTTAAAAATCTCATTTTACAACTGGAGTGTCATTTATGGACACTTATATTTTTTTTTATCACAAGCTGTAGCCCACGGGACTTAATGGAAGTGTCAATGTGGCCCATGTGACTTGAGGGAAGTCTGAATTTTGCCAGTGGGCCAAAAAGTTTGGAGACCCCTGGTCCATAGCGTCAAAACGGCTGTAACGATTTTGAGACTTAGCTAAAGTCTTCTCTTTGACTAAGCTAAGCTCTTTTAATTAACTTATAAAACATACTTCTCCGAAAAGAGGCTTAAAAACAGAAGTAATGATGGATTCAGAATTTTTCCACAAATAACTCAAAAGTACACAATTTTTGATTCATTAAACATATGAGTACATGAAAACTTCCTGAATTCCCTATTAAATGAAAAAAATGCCCAATAAGATATTTTTATCATAATTTTTTCGGTTTATATTTTTTAGGAAAGCTCTATTATGGCAAGTTTATGTTTGGAATATAGATATAGTATAAGTACATTGTTGAAACAAAACAATTTGTATTGACCAAAGGCGTAGTGTGTTAAAACATTTTTTTTGAGGAGAAGCTAAATTGAGATTGGTATTTGGTACTTGGAAAAACTCTATAATACGAATTTTTATGGTAATCGAAAAATACAAATTTTCACAAAATGAGCTAAGTAGATTCAAACAAATTTTTAAAAACAAGTAACAATAGATTTACATTTTTTTTGTTGCAAATAATCCAAAAATACACAAATGGTACTGCAATGTTTTTTTTTTTTTTAAAGTGAATCTAACAGTATATAAGAGTAGAAAAAAAAATGTGAATTCATTTATGTTTATGGTTCAAAAATGATTATGGTTAAATTTCGAACACTTGGCGAAAACTAGAATCAAGTAAAAAGAAATAAGTAAAATTACATTTTTTTATTGATGCTGCTGATGCCTCTTGAAGTTGCTAATTTTTAAAGACTCTACAACATTCTACGACTTTACATGTTAGATATTATTGTTTCTGAAATTCTAAACTTTCCAATGATATGTTATACTTCTGAGTTGACGTAAATTTACCTCTCGGTTGGACAGAGGATGCAGGTATGGCTGGTGGCCAATGAGGAGTAGGCAGCTTCCCAGGCCTCATGTAGTACTCCCTGTTACTGCACGTCACAGGTGGTGTCCTCAGGAACTCCTCCTTTTGTTCTAAACTTTTACGGATTCTGAAATCATGAAATTTGGTTTTAATTCAATTCAATTTCAAATCATAATGTATATAACATTTCAAGAGTAAAATCTTAAATCCACCACAAATATAAAAAATTTCACTCTTCAACCGAAAATCACCTCAATCAGTTTCTTTCTCCCTGTCGCCTGTTTGAAGCAGATTGAAATAAAAATGGCTCTGAGATCTGTTGCTTTACCAATAGCTCATTAATCAATCAATAAATCAATACACGAAGGACATTATCAATCCAAATCACAGAAGCTACTCAGTATAGTAATATCAAAGTTGCTAGTTTCAAGTTGTAGTAGCAAATTTCATAAAAGAATAAAATTTTAAAAACAATATCAATATTGTAAGTAAATTAAAAAAACATGCCATAATTTAAAACACACTGCTTTTAATTCGGTCTTTAGGAATGAAAGATTGACAATTTTTTTTTTCAAATGTTTATCCATTTCTATATTTTGAGTATTGAGGTAGACTTTAACAACAATACTTTTAATAATAATTGAAAACATTTCTAACAAGCTATTAAAAGGCAAAAGCCAACTTTTGGACATTAAAAAAAAAAAAAAAAAAAAGCAATCATTACTGTCTTCACTAGATTTGAATATATGAAAACTCAACTAAGAATCATAGTTCAATTTAAAAAACGTCTGCCAAGTATGGTCAGTATAGCTTCCTCACTGTTTTCATTTGCTAAAAAATATCTATATTAAAAGGTCTAAAAATTTTCTTATGAGAATAAATTCTCTGGAAGAAACCATTTTCAGAAATTCAGTAACGTAAAACACGAATGGAAATTTTCGATTCTGAGCACAAAATTTTTTTTAACCTATCGCAAAAATAAAAAGCTTCCCTACCTTCGGTAGTGAGGAAGCAAAATAGAAATTACTTAAATTAATTTATAAAAAATCTATAAATTTGAACAGCTCTTTTATTACAAATAAATTAAATTAAAACTAGATTTGACATCACTACTAACCTGTTCATAATGAGGCTATCATCACTGGAGTGGGTATCCTGTGAGCCACGGCGAGACGTTGGAATGTCCACACTAAGTCTTGGTTGTGGACAACCCAAACTTGTGTTGTCCATTTCACCACCTTTAGGAAAGAAATAAAATATTAACTGTAACGTAAATATATCAAGATATTTATAAAATACCAAATATGTAGGTATGCATAAACATAGCAGATTATAAAAACTGGACGGGTAGACTAATTTGGATGAAACTTGGTAAATATATATTTCACTGGCCAACAATAAATACAATAAAGGTATGTTAATCTAAATCAATCCACTGTTCTCCCAATTTTGAAATGTTGATCATCTTATAGTCTCTTTTTAAAGAAAACTAAAAAAATAAAAAAAAAATAAAAAAGAGGAGAAGAACTACTCACCAGCTGTTTTCTACTTATTAATTTGATACTGAACGAAAACTTTTTCTAGAATGTAAGAATAAGACAGTAACTGAAGTATACTGTACTTATTATAATCACCCATGTCATATAACAAAATGGAAACTGAATGTAAACTTGGAAGGAAGGCTGGTCATTAGAACAGCAAGATCTGAGTAGTTCCAAGAATAAGAATAATATTACTTGGAGTTAATAAATATTATTATATTATTTAGCAAACTAATCAGCTTCTTCAAAAATATTTGTAAATTCCTCTTCATAAAAACTTAAATTTCTGAAGGAGTAAATTGATGAAAGATATTTTTATAGATGGCCATTATAAACATAGTCCAAAAAAATATGTGTATGAAATAGTAGATCAAATCAAGGAATGTTTAAGAAAGACAGTGAAATTAATATAAAAGTGCACATACCAAACTCAGAATTATCAATCAACCCAATATCACTTCAAATACATTCATAGAAATAAAAAAAAAATACAAATAATATTTTAAGAATATTAAATAATATCAAAGTTTACTCACTGAGTTGGCAAGAGGCACGCTGCATTGAGGAAGATCTTGTGACAGAGGATTCTCGAATTGGTCTTTGATTAGTTTCTGGATTATGAGCAGTTTCACTGAAGTACTGAAACAAGTTTTAATAAATTTTATTATATTTATAAAACCAGTCTCAAAATGGTATTGGAATTATTCCAAGACCGTTCAAGCGAAATATCTAATCAATCAAAAAAAGTAAACATTATGAGAAAAAGTATTATACCTTTTAAAGAATCAGAATAAGGTTAAACAATGACTGCTAGCTTTAGTATCAAGAATATAAAGCAATAAACATAATAATTCTTAATGAAATTAAATAAGTTCATCGTAAAATGAGTTAACAATGCCTATTACTTTGAATGTCACAAATCTATTAGAAAGTGAAAGTTGGATAACAATTGATTGAAACTTGGATAACAATTGATCAAAACTAAAGGTTTGAATATTTTCTTATTACAATAATCAATCGCTTACCAATTGTAGGAGGTCCTCTTCTTTAGGTAGGACCAACAGCCTGAGGACGGGGGAGGATTGCTGGATAAGGCGCACAACGTGAGCATAAGTTTTGCCTGCGGTGGGTTCTCCGTTGACTCTCACTAAACGATCACCGGTGGACAATCCGGCCTCTGCAGCAGGGCTACCGGGCCGTACCCATTTCACAAATATCGTGTCCATCGGTCCATCGCATTCCTTCTCTCCAAGCAGCTGAAGCAGAAGAAAAATAATAGTGAAACATTTAAAATATATAATCAAATACAAAGAGTTTGTTTGCATAAATATATCATTAAGAATTATTATAGTACTTATAGCATTGTTATTATAATACAATTGCATTGAATTATAAAAAAGAATGACAATTTACACTATCTCAGCATTGTAGTGATTACTAAAGAAGAGGCAAAAGTTCTGAATCCAAGAACGGCTATTTCTTTTCTAACAAGTTTAGATATTAGAATAAATCATAATTTATACATAACATCGACTATTGAGTAGTTATTTTACAAAGCAGTCTATTTGAAAGATCTAAAGGATGGTTGTGACACTTACACTCCTCTAGAAAAACATTTTTTTTTTCTAACTCAAATATTTTATTTGCACCAGTAAAATATTACAATCAGCAAATATAAAACATACAAGGCATGGGTAGGAAGATAATACCCAGCAATGCATACTGCTGACATTCAGCTAAATAGAAAAACTAACATCATTAATGATTCTGTAAACAAAATATAATAGAGATTAAAAGTACAACTGTAGTAGCTAAATAATAGGGATGTTTGCTGTTTACCCAAAGATATGTTTCATTGTTTTTTTTCTATTGACCATATTTTTTTGATATATTTGTGATCTATTCAGATAAGCATTACAATTTTAAATTAATTAAGACACTGAGAGCAAGAAAAAAAATACAATTCAATTTCTTGGACTATAGATGGTTAGACTAAGGAAACCATCTCCCTCATTTGTACATCTTGATAAATTTTGTAATAAAAATAAAATTTAATCCATATGGTCCATATCCATAATAAGTTGTATAAGTATTAAGGTTACCTAGCGGTTAGTAGACCCTTCAGCAGCACATCCTCTATAAATGTGGGTCTGACTCTTTAATAGGTTATTTTTTTAATGGAAGGAACTGGAGAGGAATTTGGTGGTTGAGAACAATGCTGACCATATAACCTCCTGCTATAGCAGTTAAGAACCAGCAATCTCTCATCACTTCTGGCTGCCTAGACTCCTAAGGGGCTTGTAGTTAGACAGGTTTAGTTGGCCAGAAGCTATTAAATTTCCTCTGAGAGGATTACTCAGAAATTGGAACAGGAATAGAGTGTTTAAATTTGTCCTAAGGTACCCATGTCAGTGGGGAGCCGTTAAAAAAATTAAAAAGAGCAGTACCTCCTCTTTATTCATGTAAATAAATCAAATATTTTTACAGGTAATAGTCCTAATAGGACCTATCAATAATTGTTTTTTATTCATAATACGTTTATATACTTTAATATCAGCAGCACCAAATTAGATCATATTGTCAATATTCTTGAAATAGAATTTTTTTTCTGTTCTTTTTGAAGTGAAAAATACTTTAGGCGCATTTTGCACTTTTTTTGTGGAGAATTAGATCAAGCAGTCAGATTTCGGATGCGTAATACCAAAGTAAAGTCGGCTGAAATCGATTGATTGAAGTGTTTTTGAATGTGTATTAAAATATCTCGAAAACTAAAAATCGTACCTGCGTATTGTTAGGGAGGAAAATGTTCATAATTTCATCCTCTTTGAAATGAGCTATCATTAAAAATTGTATCTTGACGCGACACCATGTTCGAGAGGCGAAAACTTAAACAAATAGTGTCGACGACCAAATGATTACGATTTTAATGGAAGATATGGATTAAAATACCACTAAGAAACTAAAAATCGGACCTGCACCACACTATAAGCGAGGAAAATGCTCAGCATTTCATCCTCTTCATAATGATCTATTATTTATAATTCATATTTCATATCATTAATCTCGTCTAGTGAGGGATGCCCATCCCCCCAAGAACCTACCTCCTATCCATCCTCCTAACATATTTTATTAGCCAACTTTTCTTAAAAACAAAGCAAGCTAAGATAGAATTAGAAAAATCGTAGATCATATACAACTACTCTTGCTGCGGTCTTTTCCATGTTTTACGCTTGTCCCTTAGTCCAATAATTCATAACCCCATCGAAATTTATCTCCCTCAAAAATTCAAAAACCCGTCAAAATATGCCTTCCTTTCTCAAAAATTTTGATGGCGCAACTTGCGCCATGAAATCACCTGAGCACTCCTGCGTCTTATTGATGTTTTCGCTTTGATCATCAAAATCTCAGAAAAACACATTGTCAGACATTGGTCTGTCTGTCTGCGCCAAGATAATCTCGGGAAAGAGTGGTTCGATTTAGTTGCTTCTTTATTTGTTTTGAAGTGTTTTGACTACCGATGCATGATTGAAACCAATTGGCCGCTGGCTGTGCAATAAGAGAGAGACTGTAATGCAAAAACGGCTCTAAAGCCTTTGATGAAACTTTCCTGCAACCTTCTGGTTTAAGTCCTTTCAATTCTCCTACACGCAGTGATTTACCGAGAAAATTCAGGAAAAAAAGTTGTTATAAAGAAAAGAAAAATGTTTTGGGGCTCACCTCACAAAGTATACATTCTATGGTAAAATATGTATGGAATCTTTCGAAAAGTAATTGAATTTCCTACAAAATGAAAAAAAAAAAAGGCGTCAAAATCGGACCAGTTTTAGTAGCAAAGTTATAGTGTATTCAAATTTATATACTGATATTAATGATGGTTTATGTGCCCGCTGTCAACATAGCTTTTGTATGTTTATGTTTATATTAACATAAGTTTATTGTAGAAATGGTACTCAAATCATTTCTCTGATTAGTTTAAAGAAAATTTATCTAATTCAACTGTTATACTTTTTTTCACGGAAATATTATTAAAGTTGAATTAATTTGTCTAAAATCGGTAGGAAAGAGGTATGAATGGACACATCAGATATTTTTTAAGGCACCATAGAGGCTAGATTTTTTTTTTTTTAAATTGTGGCTTCAGTTTCAGTATTGGATGAAAAATTACTCGTTATTTGTCTAAAAGAACAAAGGTCAACAGCCTTCTCCCTGGTAACAATTAATCATATAACGGACACTAAAAATAGTTCCAGGTAATGTCTTGCTATGACGTTACGGCAATCGAGGGTAACGAACTCAAATATCCATTTAGATATACTAGAAACTGTCCATATAAATTTATATCTAAGAAAAAGTATATTCTTTTATAACAATAGATACTACAGATATTTCAGAGTTACATTAAAAACCAAAACTAAAAATAGAATAAAACCGCAGAAGCCACATGTCGGTGGTGCAAGACAATCATGAGCAATGTGCAGGTAACTATTGCATATTTCAAAGTTACAAAATATGTTTATGTTAAAATTTAAAAATAATACGGTTACATAACCTTCAATGAGACTAAATGACTTTTAAAATTCGTGAGACCAAGCAATACATCCTGTACTACTGCAAGAATACAAACCATTAAATTAATAACACAAAAATTCGAGATTATAATTACATCTTTGTAAGTACATTTCCAAATCCAGCCATAATTTACAAACGTAACAGCAATTAATGAAGATAACAAAGCTGAATCTTCTAAGTAAATAATTATATTTAAAAAAACGATAAAATTAAATATAGGATAAATATTAGAAACAAAAATTATTCCAATGATATAAATTTAATAGGGAATATATTTTACTTTGTATTAACTCATCATTGTTATTCTAAAGGGACTTAGTCCCAGAATAAAGTTTAATTTTCTATTCTATTCTATTCTATACTTCTGAATATATTGAAAAAAAAGTTCGAATATCAGCACTGTTTAAAATATAAAAGAAATTAAAAACAAGATGAAATAAAACGAATGTGATTTACGAATAGAACAATATCGCTTTAATTTGGGCTGATACCAAGGAAGTAATCCCATCGAATCACGTCTAATCAGCCTAGATGAATTTTAATGCCAGCTAGGTGGATAAGACTTGATTTGACGGGCTGAGGTCCTTGGTGAGATTGCACTATTATATGGAAATATGTGATTATCATTGTTATGTCGTTAAACAAAATATTTAAAAAATCACGTTAGTGTTATGATTGACAGCTTGAAAGTAATCTTGAATGATAATATGGTCATATCTTGTATTATGAGTGGCGACGTTTCGATCTCATCGAATTAAAAAAAATATATATCTTTATAAATTAATCTTCGACTCAATCTACTGAGTCATCAGGGGAAATAGATTCGGCAAAGATAACACCAGAACATAGATAACAACAGAAAATAATGACTGAAAATTCAAACTATTTATTATCTAAGACCACATTGGAACTTCGAATAAGTTCCGCGGGCCTTGTCTAGTGATAAAAAAAAATCTTGTTCTATAAATGAGACTTCACCTGTGAAATGAACTTTTTAAGAGAGAAAAAAAAAACTCACGCAAAAAATGTTCTAGTGACCTCGTGTGAGAGTAATTTTCTAAATTTTATATTTTCAAATATATTTTAAAAATTTTATCATGTAATCAAAGAAACTTTCGGGGGCCAAATTGAAGGTGCTGGGGAGAGCCGTAATTTAAAGACCTCTCATCTAAGGTAATATTAACCGTATAATATCTAGATATTTTAATTAACCGTAAATCACCTTTGACTTATCCCATGTTCATCATATTTTTACACAACTAATCTATGAGAACACGGTGGGCTAAAATAACAAACACTAATTTCCATTTAGTTAAGTCAATTGTTGTTTGATTGATCGTGGACTACTAAAACAGGTTGTGATCAATATAATAATTTTTTTAGCTGACGAGAAATTCGGAGCAGTCAAATGAAAATTAAATAATTGCCGAGGTATATTAAATATAAAAATAATTATGAAATGACATATCGAGCAAGAAAAAAATAATATGGCAATAGATAAGGAAGCACAATTTATTTTTGCCTATGAATATTAAATGATTCAAGATATTAATTAATTAAAGGATTTTTTAATTAAGTGTGTCGCAAAAACTTATTTTTCAACAAACAAGGAATTCGGAACAGTTGTTAAATGAGTGTTAAAGTAGACGTAATTGGTGGGGAATTTTTTCCCACATTGTGGATTCAA